CTTAAAAAATGGGTGCATGCGTCAATTCAGATGGCTCCTCCTTTAGAGAGTCATCTGAAACATGGTTATTTACGTAATTTTTTTCGAAACGCAGTTATTTATGAATTTTTTTTTTAATACATGATTATTAAAAAAAAATTCACCTATTTCTATATAAACGAATACTTAGTTTCTTGCACAAACGAATACTTAGTTTACTCAATGAAGTAATACAAAGTGCCAACAAAACTATTTTTAAAGGGAGTATATTAATCTAGTCAAACAAAAAAGTGATTTTATGATTTCGACCAAACAAAAAAGTGAATCACGAGACGAGTGATTCATGTAGTTATGAGTAGTTTTGAACTATTTCTATTTCTATTTCTATTCTAATTATTGCTTAATCTTAATTAATTTAAAAGGAAACTTAATCTCATGCACTTTCACTATCTTGTGACGATATGGTTTTACTAAATCTGATCGCGATATGGTTTTATTAAATCTGATCGCATCTAATCTCAATTTATTTTCCTTTTCCATTTACACCTATAATTTAATAAATCAAATCTATAAGACGATGTTTGTCATTAATATACTAATCAGTTTTCAAGTGTTTCATTGACTCAATCCATCCTCATGCTTAAAATGGCGAATATTAGTCACATTTTGATTTTAAAATTGGGCTTTATATATTTACAAGCTTAACTTGGGTCATATTTCAAATTAGTCCAAGTTAGTTTGTTGTCATACAATAATTTAGTCAACGAGTTTTATATAATACTATATGCTTGTCTATTTATATGACCTGTTTCATAATATATATAATGTACTTTGCTTATCTTTCAATTACTCTATAATCCATTAATTTATGGCAAGACCAAGTTTGAATAAAACTTAGAGAGAGAGAGAGTAAATTGGGAATTTATGAGGAATTACATAAGCATGAGAAATACATTTGATTCTTTCCAAATGAGTGAAAAATAAATTAGAAGATTGTGAATATTATTTACGTAAGGAGGCCCAAAAGAATATGATAAGTTAAGGAAACAACGGAATCGTTATCTTCTAAATGACTCCACTTCCACTTATCTTTGTTTTGAGAAAGAGTAGAATGATGGAGCACATAAAGAAGATTATCAACCACCGATAACTCGTGAAGAAAAAAAGTTTTTTTCGACCTAAGATCCCAAAAAAGATTCTCATTCTCCACACTCCTAATCTCTCCCACCAAACCATCTTATAGAGTAGAGATTGAATAAATACCATACAACTTTTTCTTAAGGGAAAAAGATCCTACCCAAGGATCCTCCCAAAAATAAATCTAGAGACTCAAACCCACAATCATAAGATTATCATCAGCAAACCAATTAGAGAAATAATCTTCTTTGGATCCAAGAAGAGACACACATTTCCACTAAGAAGAAGCAAATTGAAAACTTGATGATTTTTCTCCCTGAATAGAGAAAACAATTGAGGCACCATATCTAGCTACAAGAATCTTGCACCAAAGACCCGAAGTTCCCGTAACTAATTTTCATCTCCATTTGGCTAAGAGGCTAGGTTTACCAACCAGAGGTCCCTAACTCCTAGCCCTCATTTGTTCTTAGGTGTACATATATTTTCTCACTTGACCTAAGAGATCTTAGAATCATCCTTCACACCTGTCTAAAGGAACCTTATTTGAATATTAACTAACTTCTTCCAAACATTCACAAATATCTTTATAAAAAACAAAAAGACAATATAGATAAAATTAAGCGTTAAATTAAGAAGGACCACTTGAATCCCCAAACTGACATACATGTGCTTCCATAAATAAAGCCTCCTAGTAAATAAATTGACTAAAGTATCCCAAGTGATTGAATCATATACTTTCTCAAAGTTCACCTTAAAATAAGAAAAATGATTTAACTCCTAATTAGTGTGACTATTTTTAACTGACTATTACATCTGTTATATCTTGTAATGGATGAGTTCGAGGTCTCATGCAAAACTAGAATATAAAATAATAATTGTTGAAAAAATAATCCCAGTTAAAATAAATTGTGATACTTTAAAAATATGACACTCAGACCACAAGATTCGAAACGTGTATCAACCTCATCAATTCACCAATCAAGATAACCACTAGTTCATTAAAAACATTGTGTAATTTGTTCAGAATTATAAACACTTATTCTAAATTTAATATTTTAGAAATATCTTACCATCTCTAATACAAAGTTTAAGCATTTTATTTGTATATTAGTATTAATATAAATAATATCAATTATTAAAAAAATATAAATAAATTATATATGATACATAAAATTTGAATTTTGCTAGGAAAACCTGTAATTCTAAAAAAATAGAATTAATATTTGTTCTGTGTATGCCAAATACTCAAGGGTATACTATTATACGCCGACAAAAGGTTCAATAACATGATGTCCACTTATCCAACATACTCCATTAAATTCAAAGTATAAATACATTTACAAAAGGTTTTTAGGTATACAATCTCTAATCTTCACTCTAACTACTATTATCTTGAACTCCAAGAAAGAGTGTTAACCATGCAGGTACCTTCATCTGATTAGTCGGATTAGAGATTAGCAGCGTCGATTCAAGATCTACACTGATTAACGACGTCGATTCAAGATCAACGTCTCTGATTCAAAAAGCACTGTGATCGAACCTACGATTCACAATATCGCATCACTTAATCTACCATAGTTTCCGCAATCTTCTCCATTTCTAGTTCCACAACAGAATTATACTCCCTCCATTCCTTTTTAATTGTCATTTTTAATTTTTTACACATACCAATAAAACTAATAACTGTATTTACTTTTGCAATAATTTTTCTTTTACCTATAATATCCTTAACTTTTTATTATTTTAACCTATATTTTCTCTCTCTATATATAATAAATGATTAGGAGTAATTTTAATAAAACTATCACAAATACTACTTTGAAATTTAAAAGTGACAATTAAAAATAAATATAAACTTTTTACAAAAGTGACAATTAAAAAGAAATAGAGGAAGTATTAAAGAAACAAAGTACAGTTAAGAATTTTTAAAAAAACATTTTTAAATTTTTGAAAAGAAAATCTAATCTAAAATCTTTTCCAAAAATTATTTATTTTAAATAAAGAGCTTAAGTGTAAGGGTTTTAAAATTTGAAGAAAAAAATTAGCTTTAAATAGTCATCCCTATAAATTAGTGAAGTTTTAGTTTCCGTCTCTGTACTTTTCTGTTAGAATAATATTTGAATGTTATAATTCTTTTGAGGTGTGTTTGATTTGTTGAAAAATGAGGGATTAGATAGAACATTTTTTTTGTATTTGGATTGATGCAGAAACTTATCATGGAATATGACAAAATATATAGTAAAGAATATGACAAACATGAATTCTTATCTCTTGATAAATCATAGAACAATTTTTTCTCTCAAACAAAAAAATATCAAAAAAATTTAATATCTCTATTTAATATTTTGATTTATAAATATAATATTAATATTTTATTTATTAATAAAAAAATATTATAATTAATTATATTACTTTTCTCTGATGCATATACACATCAAATAAAGTAGAGTATTTTTTTTTTCTCTTCATCATTTTTCTTTTTATTATTTAATATTTTTATTTATAAATATCAATATTTTATATATTAATAAAAACATTATAGTAAAAATTATATTATTTGATGTAGAGATATATCAAACAAAATAGAAAAAAATTGTCCAATACATCAACCATCAAACAAAGTATAATACATAAAATGTATTGTATTTTAATCTAACTTTTATGATATAAAACAAAATGAAATTAGCTTCAAATTTTTTTTAAACTAAAACAAACACACCTAAATAATACATATGTGATAAATATTTAACTCATTGGCCTTGAGTGTCAAGGAAAGAAGGTAGTTTAAGGAATTCTTAGAAGCTGAATAAATAAATATTTTATGATGGATATTCATGTCACTCATACTCACTTCACGCCACACACACACAATAATCTTATCTTTTATAGTTTTATTGATTAATTTATTGAGTTGACTGAAAGAGGCTTGACTTGTAAGATTATTGCATCAGCAATGATGAAAAAAGGATAATACTAATAAAAATACACTGACAAAGAGAAAGATATTAAAATGATGATTGGATTAAAAAAAATGGAGTAAGGAAGTTTGTAAGGAACCAGAAGACAGTGACTTGTGTGAGGTTGCTTTCAATTTTATCACCTTATACGCGTTTTCTAGTATGAATCAGACAAAATCCCTTTCAATGGAAGCATGTAATTGGAACTTGTACACATGGGAAATTGATTGCATGAAGTCCAAATTCTTCACGTAATCGGTATATCAACGAATAATTTGATCATGATCAAACGACTACTAATGTGCTGACTACACGAATGAATGATACTTCAATGACAAAAAATTGATTGCATGAAATATGAATGTTTCATGCAATCAAAATAGTGAAGACCGTTTTATCTAAAAGACAAGTAGGTTTTGATACTAAGCTAGAATTCGATAACTACCGATGTGCTAATTAAGTGAACGAAGGATAATATAATTCGATGAATCTATATTTGTATACTGCACATGATATAAACTTAGTATCATGATATAGCCACAAAATTTCAATCTTTTGGCCCCACCTTTCTTTATCAGAATGGAAAAAACACATTCCACTTTGAAAATCTATGAATGCATTTCCCTTTTTTCAAGCCGCCCTACCTTTTCACATCATGTATCATTAGAAAAAAAATAACAATTATTCCACTGAGTGAGGTTTACTATATGAATCATCGGGAAAAAACAAATTTATCAGAAATTGACATTCTTGTCTGTTAACTGAAATTATAGTTGTACATGATGTAAGGCATTTGAAAGTAAAATCACATGTTATAACTACCAAAAAGATTATGGCATGCTACAATTACCGTTACAAATTACAATATGAACAAGTATTTACAAAGGAACGTGAAGCTAAAAAAATCACAAGAAACATAATCATTAACTAATCAGTCTGTAACCAGTCTAGATCATATTGCATCTCTGCAACTTCAATATGGACTTTGGGATTAACCTTCTTAACTTCTTTCCATATCCAAGAGACTTCCTCATCACAAACTACATGCTGCAAAGAATGCAATGACAATGCAGACTTCGGTATATTTGAAATCATCGGACACTCCCTCATGTCGATTTTCTCCAAGCTTACAAGCTTACCGATTGCTTCAGGGAAGCCTGTAAGGTAAACACATTGGGAAACATCGATATACTTCAATCTTGTCATTTCGCAGATGCTAGGAGGAAGTGTTCTTATAACCGGACACTCGTATAACCGGAGAATCTCTAGAGATTTTAGCGAGCCTAATTTGATAGGTAGTTGTGTCAAACTATGACAGTTAGTGAGACTCAAGTTTCGTAGTGAGTGTATTCGACAAATACTTGGAGGAATCTCGGTTAAATCGTCGCAGCGATCAAATGTGAGCTCAGAGATGTTGGGGAAGATATCGGCTAGGTTTGACTCTTTCCCCTTAAGACTGTCGTTAATCTTACAGAGGACTATAAACAATTTGCTCAAGCTTTCCATGACTATGCCTGATAACTTGGGGATGGAAACTTTTTCAAGCCAAAGGCTCCTCAAGGAGGTTAAATTCTTGAAAACCGAAACATTGTGAAGACGAGCGGATGAAGTGCTATGGTTTATTACTATTAATGCTTTTAAATTTGGCATTCTCTTAATGAAGGGAGGTAAGAAGTATTCACTAGATGTGAAATTAATAATCAGCACTTCAGCTTTAGGAAATTCAAAATTACACCAGTCACTTTCTCTCATTTCACCTGCAATGTGAAATTCGTCACGCAGATTAATTAATCACAGAACATGAATGAAAGTTAATAACAATATAAAGAAAGTAGTTTGTATATATACCTGTGTGAGTTGAAATAATTTGAGCGTCGAAAGATTGGTCAGCATATCTCAACCATTCCTTAGGAAGTTGTCCATTATCTTCTCGTTTTGACATTACTAACCTTCGACGTTGAGTAACGCTCCCACGACTGCTCAAATTAAGGGCAAGATCTCTCAATATATCATGTTGAGTCACAGAAATTTCAAAGCAACTGCTATACATACCACCAGCACTGAAAAGTCAAAATGTCAAACGGGTTTTAGAATATGCTATTTCTATTTGGCAAGAGATTATACATCAATACGTAAAACACATGCATTTTTCGAAGTTGCATACCGTGCTTCTTTCACTAAGGTGAGGAGATTCTTGTTCGAAAGCTCAACCACAATAGCATATGCTTCTGTTTCATGAATATCATGAATTTCAACCCACATATTGATTAGAACTTCTAGCGGAATCTTTTTATCCTCAGGAAATGAACACAGGTCCAAAAAGCACTCTTTGATCTTTTCTGGTAAGTAATTAGTACTAATTGCCATTCTATCCATTAGATCAAGTTCATAGGATTCACCGATGCTTAAGCCTTGAGAAAGCCTTGTTTTAACGCTTAACCAATACAATTCATTCTGATCTCGTAACGAAGCTCCGATCACTTTAAGAGCTAGTGGAAGCTTTCCACACTCAGCCACAACCTGACATAACATAACAATTTACTTTTGGTAAACGGTTCAATCCACGTATACGGGCAAAACTCACAACATCAAAGATGAAACCATTACCTGTTTGACTAAGTTGTGATTAGCTGAAAAAGGGATTGATTTATCTCCAAAAGCGTGGTGACAGAACAAAGACAGTGCATCATCTTCGCTCAGCTTTTCAACTTGATAAATGGTGTCAACGAATCTGAACCTTGAAACCACAACGTATTTGACACGAGGTATTCTAAACACAAGCTGCTCCAGCACAGATTTTGACCACACATCATCAAGAACAATTAGGATAGGAGCCTGGCTCCCACCACATTCAAATTGCGGATTCCACTGAGGAACAACATAATTGCTATTCAAGTTTCCATTTCCCATGACGTATCCCCAAATCTTCGCCCTCAGCTGCTCCAGATTAGGCGATTGCGAGACAGTTAGAAACAAAATTCTCTCTTTAAAATGACCTGCAAAAAACAAATGTTGAAAAGTTCAAAACTTTTGAAACACACAAAAACATAGAAATGTTAACGTATGCTATGTCCGAACTTGGATTAACCTAATCCATGAACGAACAGTTTAATGATCAGGAGAAGGCAACACGAACTTTTTGCCTATTCATGTTTCAATCCAATCAATCAATCATCATCATCATATATGGAAACCAAGACAAATCAATAAGACAACAAAACAATCAACGATTTACTTTAAATATTTACAATGAAAGAGTTTTGGTTATCATTAATATCATCTATGTAACACCGACACCTCTAAAAAAATTAAGTGTCCGTGCCAGTGTTCGAAACTAGTGTCAGTGTAGTGTTTCCGTTTTCCGTGCTTCATAGACTATCATCAACTATGAAACTAAAAATAGCATAATTCAATAAACATCATCACTCAAAATAGTAAAAACTAGATTATCAAAGGTAATAATTGTGGTTGAAAGATTATGAACAATGAATAGATTGAATCTTACATCGAACATCTTCATCTCTGCAAACCTCTCTAGCAAGAGTAGTTTTCCCAGATCCACCCATCCCACAAATCCCAACAACACACAAATCCTTTCTCCCAACAACCATCTCCATAACCTTCTTCTTCCCAAACTCCAAACCAATACTCAAATTAAAATTCCCGAAACTACCCTCATCTTCCTCACTAGTCCTAACAGCTTCCTCAACCCACCCACCACCACCAACCCCAATCTTCATCGACTCAAAAAACCTCTCTATCCTCCGATTCGACTCATCAATCCGATGAAACCGATCATCCATATCCGACCGAAGCCGATGCACATCAGCAAGCATATAAGCCTGCAACGGAACCTGCAAGAATTTCGTTACATTTTCTTCAAGACTCTCCATTTTCTTCGCGAGCTGAAAGTTTCTATAAACATTCCAACGACTAGTAGCAAGAACTTGATGAGAAAGCTCAACACCGGAGCGGAGAATCTCCGACAAACGGTCGAGCTGAGATTGTCTCGGCGGCGGAAGTTCGTCGCCGGAGTATTTAATCTCTTCGATCGTCGGGAGAATATCACGGACGAAAGTCAAAAGCTGTTCGGCGCTTGCTCGTGAGTTGAGCGTTTTGCGTGAGATTGTTGTGAGCATCTTCCATAGGTCGGAGCATATGTCGCCGGAAATTATGTCCGTCATGCCCATCGCGGCGTTTTCCGCCACCGAACGGTGATTACAGTTATTGTGATGAATTTCCTCGTAACTTCGTGGTCTTTTTAATACTATGAGGATTGAATGACTGAGTTTACGAGAATACCCTTTTTTGAGCAATGATTTGAGGTTTTTCAACTAAGATAACTTGTAACTTTGACCAGTTATAAATTCATAAATAAAGTTAGTTATGTTGCTAACTCTAAGAGGGAAAAAAACAATAATGCACGTGGGAATTATTATAAAAATAGCTTTGGAATTTTAGTGCAATTATTAAGAAATTCATTAATATTAGTATTAATTTAAAAGTTTAAAAGTAGTGTATAATAAATTAAAGTTAAAAATATAACTAATCAAAAATTTTATATTTGTTATGTTATATTAGTATTTTAAGTATAAAAATATGTTTTAATTGAATATATGTCTTTTATTAATTAATAGTGTAAAAATATTTTGAAAATTAGGTAAATGAAGGTAGGGAATGAAGTGAGTATATTGGGTGCATTTTGAATGTTGAATACTAAATAGTGGTGCAAATTGTTTGCTTCATAAAGCGAAATATTGAAACCGGGGCGACAGTGGTTTACTTATACTACTAGAAAAGAGGTTTTTTTTTTCTTCTCTCTCTTGTAGATTCTGGTTTGACCACCCTAAGGTTGGACCATGTCATTTTAATATCCTACTCATGTATTGTATGCTAATGATATTATGGTGTTAAGTAGAAAAATTAGAAGTAACTTGACTTATCTGATCAATTTCTTTCACCTATATGATAACTTTTGTGGTCAAATACTAAACTTTGATAAATATAAGGAGGAACTCTTGTATGGGAACAAACTTAAATTTATTTTTTTTAGAAATAATTAATAAGAAGAGAGAATTTTTTTAATTTTTTTAAAATTTAATTTTTTTTTAATTGTTATTATGAGAGTGGTTGTGATAATAAAGGAGAGATAAATTATTTATTTTATTTTTTAATTAATATAAAAATTTAATTGATTATGTATAATCTTATTTGTCTGTTGACTATTTAAGAATTTCTCAAATGTAAATTTTATAATTGCTTTATTTTTCTTAAGTGTATCACGTATTTTTTATAATAGTAACTTACTTTTCATGTATCTCGTGGTTCTAATATTTAAGGAAAAGTTTAAGACTTTTCACCTTTAATCAAGTGCAGACAAAATGAAGGCCAAGTTGATTTTTTAGAAGGGTCATTTGCTCTCTATCATGGATTAATATAAAATTTATGGTAGCTTAGTGTTTAGCTATCATGTTTATGGATGGGCAATCTCCTTATTAAAAGTGATTGATAAAATAGCTCGTAACTTTATTTTGTATGTGTTAGTCTGGAAATTTCAGGTAAAAAGAAATTAATGTAGTTTAATGCATAACTAGTGTTTTGGATGGGTCAACTTTTGTCCCAAGTCCATATAAGGTCTAATCCAAACGCGTTATTTAAGATCAGCTGATCAGATTTGTCCTCGACGGTGTCGGGCAACAATCCCCACTCTTCGTGAAGACGTTTCTTGCCACATCGGAATGGATCCAGAAAGACGCGAGAAGGAGCATCACCGGGCAAGAGGACCTCGAGAGTATCCTCCTTGCTTCTCCTCGAGCAAGAATGTTCTTCTCACATGGCCTCAGGCTGGCGGGGATCCTTCCCAATGGATAGAAGTGCCCCACGAGCATCCTCCTCGTAGGGCTGACTATCAACGCCTTCGAACATCACGGAATCCACTTGACCCCGGAAAAACCGCATTCATATTCTCCTAGTCATGCAGAAGAATCCATCCAGGTAGGAGACCACGTGCTGGTCCCCACTACTCATGTAGAACTCGGCAGTCTCCACTTTGGGTCTGCTTGCCCAGCCCAATGAGGGGACCTTGACCCAGCGCTGGGGGCTATAAATACTCTCTCACTCGAGAGGGTCAGGTATTGATCACTTCTTACTCACTCTTACTTGTTTGCATCATTCTGAATCTCACTTTGGCATCAGATTATCTTGCAGGTACCCCCCACCTCACTCTCAACTTCTGTTCGACGTAAGTTGTGACGGTCCATTCTGGTCAGGTACAATCAGTGGCGCCGTCTGTAAGAAACAAGCTTCCCCGTCTTTCACTTGCATAAGACAAAAGAAACTCTAAATTCTTGACTGTCATGACCGACCCAGTTGCAGAAAACAACCTAAATATCCATCCTGCTGGGCTCAACAATAGCTTTGGCGCCGACAACATCGATAATAACAACACTGGCAACGCCGACAACAACCCTAACAATAATAACGCCGACCACAATGTCAACATGCCCGAAACTTCAAATAATTACATAGAGGGAATGACCGCCTCCTCGTCGTCCATGTCTCGACGACCTGAAGACGATCAACATCCTCCCCAAAACTATCAGCCAAACACAAGGAGGTCCCAGTTTTAGCGGGCATTGATGCCACGACCAGGGCTCTATTCGCGGCTATTAATTAAAAAAAACTACTTGATCTACTCACAAGGTGAGAGATTAAGGGTGCTCAAAGATTCTCGAAGAGCCCCCAGAAGACACAGGAGGCCTGACTCTCCTCCTTCCCATCAGATAGAGGAACATCCTCAATCTCCCTCGCAGAGACGCAGACGAGATGCCTCACGAAGCCCCTCTCCTGACGAACCAGGCGTCGCCTCGCGTTGGAGAGGAATTAGCCCATTGATACAGGGAGACGTGATCACGTCCCCCCCGCGCCAAGAACGAAGACCCTATGGAAACAAAAATAGGGGAAATGAAGAACCACGACCCCGACCGAGGGATCCTCCCCACGACCAGGGCCTTCATCACGACTGCCATTACAATAAGTCACCTTCTCGATCTCCAGACATAAACGATGAAGACGACCCCCGCGGTCCCCTATCCCAAGCAATTATGGAGGCACCCATTCCCTCGGGGATGGAGAAACCTCCCCAGCAGAAGGAGTACGACGGCATTGCGGATCCAACCGACCATATTGACGGGTTCGAGGCAATGCTACATTATCATAACATCGGGGGATCGGTAAAATGTTAGTTGTTCCCCACGACCTTGAGAAAGACTGCAATGGACTGGTACAAGAACTTCTCCCCATAGTCAATCACCTCCTGGAGAAACTTAAAAAACCAGTTCATCAGCTTACTCACAGCCTCTCGTCCATATCCGAAGACTGAGGCTGCCCTTGAGGCTATCGTCCAAAGAAGCGACGAAACCCTCAGGGAATTTATTGATCAGTTCAACCGCGAGTTCATTCAGGTCTCGTGCACCAATCACATGAAGAGATACCTGCTCAAGAGGGGACTCCTCTCGGGCACGGAGTTCAGGAAGGCCGTTGGCATCGAACTGCCCCAGACTTTTGATGCTCTCCTCGAGAAGGCTAGGGCCTATATGGACTATGAGGAGAGGGAAGCGTCTAATAGAGAGCGTGACCCAAGGAATCATGGACCAACCTGTAGGTGTTTAGGTATTGGCTTGCATTTTTGGTAAATTCCAAGTGTATGTGTGAATGTCATGACTGATGTCATAACATTCTAGTTCAGGTTGTACTAACTCTTTAGGTACATATGCAGAAAAATATTGTAACTCAAATACTGATGTTTATAAGTGTGTATCTGAGCATGTTTGCAAAATGATCACATTTAGCTAATCAGTAGACAGGTTTTCTCAGATGTCATAACAGATGTTATGACATCCTGTTCTGAACTAGCAGGATTACAGGATTGGATAAGTCTGAGTTTTTTCAGGAAATAACTCAGTCCTTCCTAAACAGAATCCTGCGTTTTCTGAGGAGCAACCTCGCTCAATCCTAACCTGATCAACAAAGTACTGTGACCTGGTCATTAGGTCAAAAGGAATCAACCCTAGGTTTTTGGAAACCCTAACTGAAGTTGCAGCTGCTATATATTCAACAGAGCTGCGGTTTTTGAAGTTATCCCTGCTGATTGATTAGAAGATCGAGTTTGTAATCTGTATAGATTTGTTTATTGTACTCCAAGCAATTATCATTGTGATAAGTGTCTTGGAATAGGTTTCAATTGTAAGGGTTGTGTAGCACTCAAAGCTTTGAAGCAAGAGTGTTTGAATGTTACTTGACTAAAGCTGTGAAGCAGAGTCAAGTTAGTTGTGTACATCACTCAAAGCTGTGAAGCACGAGTGATTGTGTTACTTGATTAAAAAGCTGTGAAGCTTAATCAAGTGTGTGTTTTGAAGAGTGTCTTCAACAATTCTCAAGTCAAATTTGTTTATGTATCACTGCTGTGATTGAGGGGGAGTGAGTAGGAACTCAGGTTTAAGTTGTACTTAGATTAGAATTGCATTGGGTAGGTCTTAAGTGAAGGAGATAAACTGGTTGGTTTATTCCTGAATTAAAATCTCTTATAGTGGATTCTCTCCCTGGCTTGGTAGCCCCCAGAGTAGGTGTTGTTGCACACTGAACTGGGTAAACAATTGACTGTGTTATTTACTGCTTTTGTATTTGCTGTCATATAGTAAGTCAGATACGGTGTCATAACATTGGACGTGACATTGAGTATCTGTAGCCAGAATTTTCACAACCAAAAATCCGTGACACCAGGATGTAAGCCCTCCTCGACATACGAGCGAGAAGAGGAGGGATGACAAACCACAGGATCCCCGCGAGAAAAGAGGGCCCGCAGGGAGGTTCACCGAATACACTCCACTGAGAGCTTCCCGCAAGCGCATCTTGGTTGAGTGTGCTAATACCGAATTCAAGGACGACATCATCAAACATCCTCGTTCTTCCCCTGCAAAGCTCGGGGCTGACAGGAGCAAGTATTGTTAGTACCGCCAGAGCCACAAGCATCTGACTGAAGATTGCGTCCATCTCAAAGATGCCATTGAAAACCTCATCAAGGGTGGCAGGCTCGGGCAATATCGCTGCAATGACGCTCCTCGACGGGAGGCTCGCGAAACTAGAGAGGTCGAGGAAGACACCCGACCATCGGATGAAACATCCCCCATCC